TCTAATGGTGCAAGTTAGATACTTGCAGGTATGAAGGTGGTTGGAATCTAAAAAGGATACATAATATCCTCCAGTTGTATTGTAGCACTGAATGTTGTTTTGACACATTAAATACCATAGGGCTTAGGCATATCTACACTAATAGCAATTTATTGAGCAATTCATTGATTCCGCAAAATTTATGGCTTAGAGATCTTGTACTATAAACCCCTACATAGAAGGTAAGGAAAGAGGAGCCTGCAGAAGTCAGGTAAAATGACTGGTCATAATTATATTAAATAATAAGCTCACAACCTCCTATTCTGTTTCCTTTCTTCTGCTGGATCCTACAAAACCATGTGTGATATAATGACATTTTGGTCAACAATGAACCACATATGTGACAGTGGCCTCATAAAATTATATTAATGATACCATATTTTTACCGTACATTTTCTATGTTTAAATACGTTTAAACACAAATACTTACCATTGCATTGCAGTTGCTTCCAGTATTCAGTATGGTACCATGCTGTACAAGATGTAGCCTAGGTGTATGTATAATAGGCCTTACCACCTAGGTTTGTGCAAGTACGCTCTATGATGTTAGAAAAATGATGAAATTGCCTAATGATGCATTTTTCAGAATGTATCCCTCTCGTTAAGTGACACACGATTGCAGTCTGAATTCTGTTCTATAGACCAGCGCTGTCCAATAGAACTTTCTGTGTTGATGGAAATGTTCTATTTTCCACTAATACGGCAGCCACTAACCACGTGTGGTTAGTGGGCACACTTGAAATGGAGAAACCGATTTTTTTGTTTTTTATAACCTAATTTAAAATTAAACTTAAATAACCACATGTAGCTAGTGACTCTCATGTTGGGCAGGGCAGCTCTAGTGGTGCTCACACTCAGAATTAAGAGGCCGAAACCATTCTAATTTGGGGGCTTCTAAATGGAGTATCAGATTTCTAAGGAAACATATTTCAGATAAATAGTACTGCAACGTTGCTGCAGCAAGTATAAAAGGCTTATTTTGTTGGCCAAAGCAAGTTGTCAGGCAAAGTGAAGGTCAACAGGAGGAGGAAAGTGTAATTCTCCCATAGGTCAAAGTTGGGTATATAAGAAATTTAATTTTCTTTCTCCATTCCTCCTCCTCTGCTTCCTCCTCCTTCTCTTCTTCTTCTTTTACAAATTAACTTAATTTTTATTTCAAGTCTATTCAAATTTCTTCTAGATAGTAAAAATTAAATCTCAGGCAATTCAGTCTTCTACATTCTCCATCTTGGCCAATGCTGCCTTCTCCTCTTCCTCCTCCTCCTCTTCAATCCCAACAGCTTTTACAATCAGCTCTTTTAGGTACATTTGAATATCCACACACATATGCCAGATCATGGTGCATGGCTGGGGGCAGGGAACTCCGGGGCCTCTACAGGACTTGGTATAGGTGCTTCAGGCTCTCCATGAAGTCATCCTCCTGCTTCTGTGCCTTAGAAGGCAGAGGACCTCTGTGAGTTTGGCCTGCACTCCAGAAGTGGTGCACAGTTCTCCACTGTGCTCGCATCCCCCAAAGCTATCTGATATATCTGCCTCCAGCCTGCCTACTCCCAACCTAAGCGTTGACCATGGGAAAAGGCAAGACGCAAACCAATCCCTCCGAGATATCCATTGAAGCAGTCAGCTTAGACTCAGTTATGTTGCGGCAACAAACAATCCCCAAACCTCTGACTTAATAGCAAAGGTACCTTTTTCACTCTGCCACAACTCTGTTCCACAGCAGCCCCTGACTGGTTCATTGCCCATATTATGGTAGAGTGAAAAAAGAGGGGGGCAGGATTCACAAAATGACTCTTAAAACTGCTGTAATCAGAAGTGGCATAAATCACTTCGGGGCATATTCGTTGCCCAGAGAAAATCACATGACTGATCTTGACCTCAGCAAGGTCACATGTGGCCTTCTAGGTTCTTACATGTAGCCTTTTGACTAAATCCAAATTTTACCGAACAAAGCATTTTATTAAAAGGGGTCCAGCAGAGAAAGATGAAGCTTTTCTTCTCTCCTTTGGTGCTTAAAAAAAGAAAAACCTTGAAATTAGAAGGCCACAGGTTCACCACCCCTGGATCCTTTCCCACAGGGATTGACAGTGAAATTTGGGGTATTAATAGAATCTACACATGCATCATCTACTTTTCCTCTCTCTCTCTCTCTCTCTCCCTTGCTTTCTAGTCCCCATCACCATCTTTAACACCCCACAGCCAGTAGATTCTTTATCTAGACTAGGCAGGATAGTATATTCGTCGTAATCTACTATTAATGACATAGACTTTTAAAGCTCCAAAGCCCATATTCTTGAAACTCAAAACTCTTTTCTTTAAACACTCTATTCTCTCACATGTGTTTCTGAAGCTCTTGTTTCTGCGCTATCATCCCTTCCCTGGGTAGGAAGCAGAAAATGTACCGGCTGCTTCCTGAGCAAAGGGAGAGTTCGTAGAAGAACGAGAAATATTTGGAGAAACCATCAGTTAATAAAATATTACTGGACCACATTCTGGCAGGGTAGACTGTCTTTTGTGGGGAAGTAGGGATTTCCCTTTTGGAACTGAAACATCTTGGGATAGAAGGCAGCGGCTGGTGCATTATTAGAGTTATCTACCAGAGTTCTTTAGGACTAGTGCTATTCAGCAGAACATTCTGAGAGGGCAGGAAGGCTCTCTATCTGTGCTATCTGTCCCTTATAGTAGCTCTTGGCCACATGTGGCTCTTAAGCACTTAAAATGTGGCTTGGATGACTGAGGAATTAAATTTTGGTTTGGGGGAGTTTTTTGTTTCAAAATATTAAGGAGGTACAAATGTTTTTGTTACATGGATTGCTTTTGTAATGCTTGAGTCATGGCTATAAGTGTGCCCATTACCTGAATACTGTTCATTGCACCTGTTAGGTAGGTTTTTGCCCCTCCCCTCCTCCCCCCTCTCCCTACTTGATTTCCAATGACTTTTACTTCTCTCTGCACATATGTGTGCCCCTCAGTTAGTTCCAGTGTATTAGAGAGTACATGTGGTGTTTGTTTTTTTTATTCTTGAGATATTTCACTTAGGATAATGGTCTCCAGTTCCATCCAAATGCTACAAAAGGCATTAATTCATCCTTTTCATGTCTGAGTAGTACTCAATAGTATATATATACCACGTGTTATTAATCCATTCATGAATTCATGGGCATTTGTGTTGATTTGTGAGGCAATCAACACCTGAGTGCAGGTGTCTTTTTGATAAAATGACTTCCTTTCCTTTGGGTAGATACCCAATAGTGAGATTGCTGGAGCGAATGGTAGGTCTACTTTTAGTTCTTTGAGAACTCTCCATACTGTTTTCCATAGAGGTTGTACTAATTTGCAGTCCCACCAACAGTGTATAAACATTTCTTTCTCTCTGCATCCACTCCAGCATCTATTGTTTTTGTACTAGGAACTAAATTTTGAATTTTAATAAATTTAGATTTGAAAAGCCACATGTGTCTCGGGGCTATTGTATTAGTGCAGTTCTAGAAGTTACCAGAGATAATAGTGCAGCTAAAAGTCATATAGTGACCTTAATGTCTCACTATTATTTATATCTATAAAAACCATGCTGTGCGTTTTTTTTTAAATCTCAAAATGAAAATAATTTCAGTTTGTATAAACATATTGGCATTATAGGTAGAACACAGTTGGTGAAAAGCAAATAGTGCCTTCACTTATTAATTGGCTAGAGCTGCCTGACCTAATAAGCAGAGGCTAAATTTACAATTAATTAAAGATTTTATGTTCATTCAGCCAAGACATGCCTCAAACCATTTTTTGTTCAGCTGGCCAGCAAGATACTTGGAGCCATATTTAGGACATCTTGCAACTATAATCAACATATGCAAAATATCCCATTTCAAAGAAGTTCTTTCATTTATCAGATTAGTAATTCTGTTGTACTAATAGGATTTTTCTCTATTATGCTAGCTATAATCATATTTGTAGTAAATGAATGTGGCAATGTACTACATGGAAATTTTTATGTAATTTGATTATTGGTAATTTAACAAATGGTTCTTTTTCTTTGCTACCAGGCAATATATTTCTTTATTAGAGATGAGGAAACCGAGGCTTAGAAAGGTAAAGCAATTTTCCTAAGGTTATATAATAGTTATGTGGAATTATGATACAGGAATTCATATGTCTTTTATCCAAAGCCCCCAACACGCCTTAATACTGCTATTACTTGATATATAATTGTAAAACCTAACTGCAATCACCTATCTTTTCCTAAATATAGAGACTGAAGAAAGCCACAACCCCTTGCAAGGAACTAACTGATGCCGATGGGATGCTGCTGCCTAGACACTTCAGGCTTGCCACAGCCGATGCCCCTTGGTGTCCTGGTGGTGAAAGGGAAAAGGGAATAGACAGGAGACTGGAATCTAGCCATGCAAGAAAGCTGTCCCAGTCAGGTTGGGCCGGTAGACACAATGTCACTACCTGTATTGACTTCTAGTTACCTACTGGGTTTGGTGAAAATTAAAGATCAGACTCCTGGATTGCAGGCTATGCCCGGTTCAAAATCTGCCATCAGACCCTGTGCCCAGGCTTAACCCTGCACCACCACATTAACTAGGTGACCTTACACAGTTTTACGATCCAGGTATCTGCTAGCATAAATGTCCCTCCTGTGCATTCAGAACAGCGATGATGCCTCACCTTCAGTTAAAAGACAATGGGAGACAGATGCTCGCTTTCTTTATTTGCTGTTGTATTCTTGGTCCCACTTTGCCATGTTTGAAACAGGAAAACGTTTCCCTTACTCGAATGCCAACGCGCACAAGCTACAGGCGACGCTGCCTTCTCCCACCCCCGCACCCCGCTGTCCTTGCAAACTTTGGACAGAGGAAAGGTGGGCACGGGCCGCGAAACTACAAGTCCCAGCATGCCCGGCGCCCTCCGCACAGGCGCACGGGGACCACCTGGCTCGCCGGCCAGCCAGCCTGCGGCGATCCCCGGTCCCCGCGGCGGACTGGGGCTGGGGACAGGCAGCGCGCGCGGACCAGGCCGGCGCCGAGGGCCGCCTCGGATGGCTGCGGGGGCGCCGCGGCGCGCGTGAGGGGGATGCGGCAGGAGGCGGCGCGGCGGGAGGAGTAGGCGGCGGTGCCCTCGGGAGGAGCTGCGCGCGGGCCAGACGGCTCCGGAGGCTCCGCAGTGCCGCCGCCGTCGCCCGGGAGGCTCCGCGCGGGAGCCATGTAACCCTGGGGCGGGCTCCGGGCTGCTCCGTCCTTCCAGCTCCCGGGCTAGCGCGGCAGCGGGGCCACGATGAAGAAGCAGTTCAATCGCATGCGCCAGCTGGCCAACCAGACGGTGGGCAGGTAGGTCACCCGCGGGCCGCCGGGGGCCGGTGCGCGCCCGCGAGGCTGCGTCCGCCGGGGCGCGCAGGTGATGGAGCCCGTTGGCCTCCGTCCTCCTTCCCTCCCTCCCTCCCTCCCTCCCTGCCCGCCCGTCCCTCCCCCTGCGCCGGCTCCCTCCGGGCGCGACCCCTCCTCTCTGAACTTCCCAGACCCCCGGAGCCCTTCTCGCTCGCTGCCTGCTGCTCCCGGGCTCCGCTTGCCCAGCGCGAGGCGTGACGCATCCTCTACCTGCGTCCCCAGCTGCCCCTGCACCTCGTCCCCCCTGCCTTTCCCCGGGACTCCCTTCTCCTGGCCGCGTATCTTCCTGGAAACAGGTGTTTGCTCTGATTGTGCCAGAGGCAGCCGGGCCGCAGTCGGTCTCCGGAGATCCCTTCGCTCCCCTCCCCTGCGCCGAGTTCTGGGCTGCTCCCGGGTCCAGGGGAAATGCTGGGCCTGGTCGGCCTGCCCCTCCCGCCGTGTTTGTTTTCAGGGACTATGACTGTACGAGATTCTGGATCACTTTCCTGGCCCGGATTTTTAAGGCGTTTGGTGGTGGGGAGAGGATGGGGGTGGGAGAAGAGGGAAGGCGCTGGAGGAATGGCGCTGCTCTCGGCTTGGTCCTAAGACTGATTTCAGGGGCGGGAGGGAGGCTGCAAAAAGGAGGCCCAACACCTCTGGAAGATGAGATAAGCGGAGGATGACAGCTAGGTAGGGGAGGGGGACAGAAGCCCCGCAGGCAAGAAGAGCCAGGCCCCGGGGGAAGCTACGAGACCCAGTTTGCTGTCATCGCGAGGAAAATGGGCTACATCTGGGCTAGTGTCTCCAGGAGTAGCTCTGCGGGGTGCCCACAGCTATTAAGGTTACATAAGGATCCTGGTGGGTCTCTACCAAAGCTAGACATTTTCCGAACACAGGATTGTTAGGTAGAAGGGATTTTTTGTGGAGCCCCTACTGCTGGGGAGGGATTTACGTTGCTACTGTGGCAAAGGAATCCAGGTGTGCAGTTCTAAAGCAGTCGGGAAGCGAAGAACCCAGCCTTGGGTGCAGTTCAAGTGCAAGCTCAACACATCGAGAGCTCTCCACTAGGTTTATCAAGAAACCAAATACCTTTCTTGGGTGGGAAGTGGAGCCCGAGCTGGCACCTGCTAGGTTGGGGGTGGGGACGTCCCTGGAGAATAGGGGACATCTAAACTCCCGTCTAAGCATACTGCCCTAGTTACAGTGGGCATTTGAGGGCAGGGGATGCGGTGGCTTCTTATGCTTCCAGGGACTCCAGATGGTTTCCAAGTAACAATGTCTAAAATTGACTTGGATTCAGTTTTCCTTCCCAAACACATGTGCTTTAACATGAGGGGGAATTTATGAATAGCAGAGTCAGATTAGCCCAGATTTCTGGCATGGTATTGCCATAAATATAGCCTCACGTGGACTGCTTTTTGATATGTTGGATAGTGTTTTCCTGGTACTCGTTGTTTAGCAGATGACGGAAAGCCAACTGGTCTTTAAGGTCTTGGCTTCTTTATCACCCTGCAGGTTGGCATCTGCCATCACATCAGACCAACCAAGGGACCAGGAGGCCCCTGACACTAGACTCGGGTTGCTGGTTTCTCTCGGTCTTGGGGTTTCAGCTCAGCGTTAGAATCTAAACGCATGGAGGTTGTTTATGCCTTTTTCCTGGTCTCCCTGAAACATAGCACTTTTTTTTTTAAGACTTATTTTAAAGGAGGAAGATTTTTGAGCTTCATCCATGCAGGGGATGAAAAAGGGTGAGGGAAAGTTGGGTTAGAAAAAGTAGCCTTACTTATTGCGAACACGTTCTTGGAAGTCCAAGCAACTGGCCACCAAGAGGGACCTTCCACTTGTTGCTTGGGACTCTGGTGGAGGTTGGCTTATGGATGAATTCTGTTTCTTTCTCAGATGCTGTCCATTGTGCTGTGCACTGGGTGAAGTGTGGGCCAGCCCGTATCTCTTTTGATCACATCCAGAGTGAACTTTGTAAAGCAAAAATGAGTTCGTGTTATCTTGCTGCTTAAAAGCTTCCAGTGACATCTCATTGCACTTAGCATCTCAAATCTTGCCAATGGCCTACAAGACCATTCCTGATTTGGCCCCTCTGTGTCTCTCCATACTCCTGTTCCATGCTCTCCTCATTATCTGAGGAGGGTCCAGCCACATGGCCTTTCTTGCTCCAAACACACCAAGCTCATTTCCATGTGCTCCTCCCAAGTACCCCTTCCGATCAGTCCAGTCCTAGTGCTGAGGCCTTTGAGAGGCCCTCCCTCCTCTATCTGCTCTCCAACCCATCATCCTTTTCATTTCTGCACAGCACTCATCACTGCTCCAAATGCTCTTGTTTTTTATTTTCTTGTCTGTCTGCCTCCAATAGAATGTATTGATTGCTGTTATATCCCCAGTGTATATAATGCAATGCCTTGTAGATAATTGATGCTCAATTGATGTTTGTTGCCAAGATTAAAACAGTTTACTTAAGGGTCCATGAGGATAAATGAAAGGAGCAGCATCTCCTTTGTCTTATATGTATTGGAGTAAAAGGGCCAGAATTTGCTTTTTAATGTCTTAAATCACTAGAAGCACATAGGATTGGAAGTTTGGGCTTTTAGGTATGCAATTATTGCATACCTAATATGCAGCACATACCTCATATGCAGCACTTTCTTGATTCTTACTCTTGTGTGTATTTTTGAAATGGGGACTTCCTTCTCTCTGGGGGAGGACTAAGAAATGAACTTTTGAGAGTTGCTCTTCCTCATAGCTAGCCTTCCCTAAGTTGCAGGTCCTGGAGCTGTTCTGCATATAAACTGCTAGGGAACTGCTCCAGTCATTTAGCAATGTAGGAATTGCCCTACTTAAACATACCCTGCTGGGTTCCTAGTACTTTCTCTTGAAGTGCTCCTATCAGAGACTATGAAAAGAGTTGATAAAACCCATTGTATTTAACTGGGAAAAGTTTCTTCTCCTCCCTAGTCTACTTGCTCAGTATTTGCACATGTTCTTTCTGCTTTAAACTTTTCCCTGTTTATCCTTTGACCTCAGTCCTCCTTTGGCAAGTGCTCCCTGGTCACCATGTGCCTAGTGGTTAGAAGCTTGGGCTTTCCAATGGGGCAGATCGGGTTTGTTGCTCACTGGCTATGGAATCTTGAGCTTAGTTCTCTGCATATTAGTTTTTTTTCTCTGCAAAAATGTGAATAATAAGGATTGCACTGTGGTAATATGATAATTGTGGTCATGATAACATGAGATTACCTCGGAAAAGTGCCTAACAGTGCACAGCACTAGGAAATGCATGATAAATTGTAGCTACAAGTATCTTTGGGCAATGTTATAACTATTATTGGATTAGATGTACTATGGCATGGGTACATGCACTTATTCATTCTGTAAATACTTATTAGATGCCTACTGTGTGTAAGCACTGCTCTGGTTTAGGGAATATTGCAGTACAAACAAAATCCCTGTTCTCTTGGAACCTGCTTTCTAAAGGATGCTATGGTCTTAGTGGTTAGATTGTATTGTAATTTTGATCTTTTCTTATTTAACTTCCCCATTAGACTTTAAACTCCTTGGGGGCAGAGACAACTGCCCTAATGTTGCCCGATGTAGTAGGTTCTCTGAAATTACTTGGCATCAGAATGAATAAGTGAACAAAAGATCCATGTGCTATAGAGAGAGAGGAGTCTTATGAAGTAGTTCAAATATGGAGAAGGCTCCTGACACAATGTTTCTTTAATTTTGTGATGGGAATGGTGTTCAGAGGAGTGAGGAACAGCTGTACTGCTGGGCTTTGGGGGATAGAGCAAGATTTAAGCGAGAATTTAGTACATACTTGATCTATGGCACTATTTTTTACCTTCAAGAGAGTCTAGTAGTTGCTCGGGTAAGAAGCATCCGGAAAGGCATAGAATATTTTTCTTGGAAGTGACATTTGGTTTATGTTGGGTGAAACAAAGCCCTGAGCTGAAATGTAGTGTCCAAGAGACTCACTAAGAGGAAGAGAAAATGGAAGAAGTAAAATTGGCACCCTGATCTGGTGAGGAGGACTTTCTTTTGAGTCTGTGCCGTGTGAGTTACAGTAGCCCCCACCTCAGAGGGCTGTCACGAGGTTGAAGGGAGCCTGTCCCCACTCCCCCACCCCCTCCCCACCCCACCCCCAGCACTCAACAAATGGTTGAGGGGGTTCATTGTCATCTTCCTTTTCTGCGTGCCCATTCAATCTTTCAGAAGACATTAGCCTCCTAAACAGGAAGGGCTTCTTAGATACTGACAGCCCCTCCCCAGTGCCGGTCCAAATGGGGTCTGTGCTCTTGTGTAAAATGGGCGGTGTTCAAGGTGTCTGTGAGCAGCCAAGGCCTGTGGGAGGGACGCGGCTGATTGGCCTGGGTTGGATTGCATGGTTTTAGAGGAGTTGGGAGGTAAAGACAAACTTTTGTCTCCAGAGCACTGTTTTCCATTCCTAGACTGCTCAGGCTGCAACACTGGCCAGGCTTGGTTTCTGCTGCACAGCCTTTGCCGGTGTCATTGCTGCTGTGCAGCTCTCAGAATTCAGCTGCAGAGGTCCGGGCACCGGCCAGGGGTGGCGGGCTAGGTGCTGAGGCCACGACAGCCTCTAGAAGCACTGGCGCTGCAGATATTTCTGCTCAGGCCAAAGCCAGTGAGGATGTTTTCCTTGAAGGTTTCTCTGAGATGCTGCCCTGCCCTTTAGCAGGCCTTCGAAGAGCCGTGACCCAATCAATAGGACGTGAGGGAAAAGTCAAAACCAATTCCAAATTAGTCACTGGGCTGCTTTGTTCCCTCCCTGCTATTTCCCTGACTGTGGGTTGGACCTGTCAGACCAACGCAGGCCCTGCCTAGGCTTCCTGTTAGTCCGGCAGGGCTGGCCAGACCCAGACCTGCCCCCCAAGGAGCACTGTGTACATCCGTGAGGTCTCAGAGCAGAGTTCTTTATTAGAGTTTTGTGGCAGCCC